CCTGTTCCCGTCCCCAGTTCCGTGCTCCCTCCACAGCCCTCTTTTCTTTCTTTTTCTTTGTCACAGGTTTCTGAGGAAGAGGAGGAGGATCGGGGTCCCCTCGGCAGGCAGAGGACGTCGCCTCCGCTGCCGGGGAAGGCGAAGGGGGGCCGTTTCTCTGTCCAAAGAAACGAAAGGTCCGTGAGATTTCAAAGCTGGAAAGGCCCTAGACCGCGGGAATCGCAGAAGCCTGACCACCCCGGGCTAGGAGAATTCTACCCAAAACCATCACCGAGAGGCGATGCAGGAAAGTCCTTTAGGACTTGGGAACTGAGGCAAGGCGAAGTGGGGTTCCCCTGGCCTGCATCTCTCAGGATAGCAAAAGGAGAGGTCTGCAGAGATGGAAGGATGGGCCCCAGGACATCACCCCCTTTCCGACTTCCCAGAGGCATCCCGGCCTTCGCTTGCAGCCTCACCGTGCGGTGGCTTGAAGCCGGCCTCCGGTGAGTCAGCTGAAGATTTGGGGAAGAACTGAAGGTTGCTCTTTTAACCGTTTTCCAAAGCTGGGTCTGAGACAGGAGCCGGGGCAGGCTCACCCTCACCCCCCGCCTCGGCTTCTGACATGCTGCCTACGGTTTCCTCCACCCCTCCCAGGACCCACCTGCAGACACACTCGGGGCTCAGGCAAGCCAAGCGCCCGTCGCCCCCAAGATGGCCAGGAGCCTGGGGTGCTGATCGAGGGTCGGGTCCTTCCTTCCTTCCTCCCGGCCAAGAGAGGGCAGATAGGAGCTTCCCACGGATGGACAGAGCCTAATTGGGGTGGGGAGGGGGGGAGATGGCCCTTTCGCCAGCATGTCCCTCTTTGGAATGGCCCCTGACCTTTGGCTGCCACAGCTCAGGACATATTAGCTGAACTTTGGCTCTAACAGATGCAGCTCAGCAGAGGAAGGAGGGGGGGAGGGCAGAGGAAAACTCCCCACTCGGAGACTTCTGGTGACGAGAGACACCGTGCTGGCCAACAAGCAAGTGCCCCCTTCCCCACCAGCTCTCCCCTCCAGACTGTACAGCAGCAGGGAAAGGAAGAAGAGTATGAAAAGAACTGAGAATCTAGGGAATAAATACCGTCTTCCAAAATATATATTTTTAAAAATCATTTGTTTCTAACGCTCTGACTGCCGTTTCTCTCACGGGCGAGCATGCAACATGAGCGAGTATGGGAAAAGACCCACCTCTGGTCCACCCCTGCCTTTGGAGGAAAGGGGCTCTCCCCCTCAACC